GTTGAATTCAACAGAATAAATGAGATACGTACAGCTATGCTAACTTTTCCCAAGATTTCTTCTGGGACTCTTCTGGCTTCCTTCAGGACCTGGTCCAAGGATCCACCATCCTGTAGAGAAAAGTTGCAGAATTCTAATAAAACATACAAATTTGTTCTAAACAATTAAAGAACTACAAGACAAAATACTGGTATCAATTGTGTGTCCATTGTGAGATGGCCCTGCTAACAGTCTTTGTCTCTCACCATGTGCTCCATACAGATGCTGATCTCCCCATCGCTGTAAAAGGCCCCATAGAAGCCCACGATGTAGGGAGAGTTGCATTCATGCAGCACCTGCAGCTCTCTGATAATCTGGTTTCTGATGGCAGGCTTGATTTCCAGGTGGATCAACTAAAGAGGGAAAGGTTGAGAACATAAACTGCTGCTCAGACAGAAACAAAAAGATGCTTTCAGATCATTCACTGATGGTTCAACATTACATTACACTTGTTAGACGCTTTTATCCAAAGCGACTAACATACTCGATACTGTGGACAATCCCCACAGGAGTAATTTGGGGTGAAGTGTCTTGCCCAGGGACACAACGACATGCTGACTGCAGTGGGGTTTGAACCTGTGACCCCCTGATCTGAACACCAACATACAACCCACTGCGCCACACCACACGCCCCCTAATATCTCATGGTAACATATTTCAGAGGTGGTGGTAGATAAAACATGACTATAACTCTATGCTGTTTGCCTGTGTGTAGTAATCACAACACATACTATTTGAGATAGTACTACAACAGACAAATAATAATAATAATAATAATAATAGATGTATTTTGTCAGCGCTTTTACAGGTGCTCAAAGTCGCTTTACGAAAATAGTGAAAAGAAAAGAACAACAAATAAATACAGTTAAAGTCAAATTAAAATCAAGCAATACAAAAACAATCACACATTAAAAACAAAGTGAGTCCACGTACACAGAATGTCTTAAAATGTACAGCCACTTATAATCTAAATAATCACAAAATAGCAAAGACAAATTCCCATATTTCCAAAAAGTTTCTCAAGATTTGCAAAAACTTTTAGGGGGAAGAAAAAAACCTTGCATGTTACTACAAACTTAAGGGCTTAACAGTCTCTACTCTCTCTCTACAAGATGGTGCTTGCTCGAGGTGCTGCTGCAGTGTCTGTACGGTGTCCCAATAACTGTCTGACTTGTAAACACTACACGTTTTCATTATGACCAAATTAGGGGAGAAAATAGCCTAAGCAGCAGCTGCTTAAAGAAAGCTGTGAATGCCAAGGAAATACTGCATTCATTAATGCAGATTCACACGTAAATATTTGAGGGATTAAAAATCACAAAGAAAAACTACCAGGATGAAGCCGAAAAAAGAGAAAGAAATTAAACCATGCGATTGCGGACCTGCTTTTTAACTCTCTCAAACATATCTCTGGTATTTGTTCATTGCAAAATGTTTTGACTTATAATGTTACCGGTATAAATGATTCATCTGTGATAAGCTTTAATTGGTTATATATATATATATATTTATATTGGTTTAGAACATTTAAGAGACACATTTATGTTTTAGGCATGGATACGTCATGTGAAATATATCAGCCTTTCAAAATTCAGATTTATGTTCGGAAAAACTGACCTGTGTTATTGTTTTATAATTTTTGGTGAATGTGTTATATTTGTATTCAAACAAGGTGTGTTTTCTCCTACAGAAAGTTAGTGCACTTTACATAAAAGTGGGTGGAGTAAACCAAACCAGCACCAGTCCTGAGACGCAATGATGATCTAAACACGTCTGGAATGTGTTTTGATTTAGCTCCCTTCAACTCTCTCACTTCCCCTGCAACAACACATTTGACAAATGTTAGTTTTTACCTTCCGGGCCATGACCAAACCCGAGGGTTTGTGGCGGACTTTGTTGACCACTCCTCCGTTCCCGGCGCCCAATTCACATATGGGGTCAAAATCCTCATCCTTCAGCTCCCCAACTTGAGCTTTCTGGGTGAGAAAGGCCTCCAGTCGTTTCCTCTGTTGTTCATCCAGGTCCAACTCGCCCAGTTTCTTTTGTAAGGCCTCGAGGTTGGCTCTGTGAGGAGATGGTTCATAGATTAACAAACAGATAAAAGAAGACAGAAAGGAATAAAGGGATATTTAACTACACTGTCTAAATGGTTGTTTGATGATGTGATGCAGTGCTTGGTGATAACATACATACACAGAGCATTTATAAAACATTCACTACTATTCCCCAAACAATAACAATTGAGTTTATTGTGTTATTAAAGTTAAAATAATGTTAAACCAGCCTAAAAAACTGCTATAATAAAGAGAAACATACATCAGAAGTTAACCGTTAAGAATCATGAAATACAGTAATTATTTTGGTGACATGCTTCTTCAAAAAAACATCTGAGTTAATTTGATGTGCTAACATGCATTTCCTATTTGGTATAAATGTAAGACTCAAATAAGATTATATTAAGACAACTTGAACAATTGGGGTTGTATTAAGGCATTCACCTTCATGAATATAATAAGATACAAATAAATGACAGCACACAAACTGTTATCATCACATTGAAACAAATGTGGAATATTGGTCATTGCATGTGTTGTTTTGCACAAAATACAAATTATTTCCAAAATGCAATATTGTACAATATTCACAACATTAAAACAGCTGAATTATACCTTCTTGATTTATCTTATAATCACATAAAGTCTACTCACTCAGAAGCAACATCGACGGTGTTGGAGGTGGCCTGTCCCTCCCCGATGGGCGTTATGTTCAGGGGAACGGGTCTTCTTTTAGGAGCCATTTCAACAATTACCCCAAACTACTTTCTCCAAGAATGCACAAACCTGGAGTAAAAGCTGTGAAATGTCTGTTCTAACGTTTTCCTGCTAAGAAACTCTTGTCTGAAAAAAAGCAACAGGGTCAGATATAGGTGGCTAGCTAATGTTAGCAAAGTTAGTTTACTTTCGGTAACATGTCAGTCAGATATTTGTGTATGTTTTTATCATATCAAGAACAGTCTCGTAAAGTCAGCTCGTTTTACGGTGCACCTATAGCTTCTGGAGTAAAAACATTTCTTTTTTTCTGCTTTCTTCTAGGTTATCTACCTGCTGCTACTTGCCATTAGCCACCTAGCTGCTGCTACTAGCTAGCACCAGCTCCAGTAAAAATCGTGCCCTGCGTCTAGAGTCCTAAACGAGCCTCTCGCTTCTCACCGGGCCGCCTCGGGTTCACCGGGACACCGACTCGGCTTCTTCCCTCCGCGGGACCTCAGCTACAAATTCCTCCCTGTTTCAGTACCGGGCACTGGGCTCTGAAGCGAGAAGGGCTTTGGTTCTGTGTGGTGGTGCTTCAATACAGGAAGCAGCAGCTGCAGCATCAGACCTGTGTATGACACCCACAGAGAGAGGCCATCGAAATATCGCGAGACTTGAGGCCATCTGACAAGTTTGAGTGAGAAATGCAGAAATCTCATGGGAGATGCAACATCTTTGTAATAACAGCTCCAGTATGTTGTTTTTAAGATAAAATCACAGTTTAACAATATCTTATCTTCCCCATTTTTATGTGTTTAAATTGGAGTCTGAAAACAAGCTGCACAGTACATCACTGCCCCCGAGTGGCAATAATGTATTCTGTGTAATGTATTAAAATAGGCTACTCAAATACTTGAGGTTCTGTACCTTTTTCTTTCATTTGAAGCTGCTCTATTCTTCTACTCCACTATGTGTTAAAGTCAATACTGTACTTTTGTTCGTTTATTTGACAGCTTTAGTTTCTAGTTACTTAGCATATTATTGGCTATTACAAAATATGAATCATCTCAATTTTAACTACTTTATCTTATAATTATATTTCAATGTTTATTTATGAGATGATTTATGAGATGATATGCATCAATAATCATAGTCCAGTCTTTTAACATACATGATTGTAAAATACATTATATACCTTTTAATAGCGTAATGTCCTTTTTATGGGACATTTTTACCATTTGGTAGTGCTACTTTTACTTAATTAAAATATGTGAATATTTCTACTGTTATTTATAAATTATTTATTATATTTGGCCCAACTGTAACACGAGGGAAGCAAATATAATAAATAATTTATGATTGAAGAGTATGCAATGAAAAGAAAAATTCATACTCAAAAGTAAATTCATTTCCCTGGCTGAATAATACATGTAAATGGAGCCACTTAAGGCTGCAGTGGTTGTGAAACATCTTTACGGTTGTGTAATATGTTCCATGTGCTTATCACTGGTTGTGAAATCTGTGCTTCATGTTGTGTTGAAAAGTTAGAGTATTTTACCGGAGGTATTTCCCCTAACTTAACTTTCAATAAACGATTTGCATCTATGTTGGAGAATAATAAAAACAATTTCCCGGTTTTGGTTTAGTATCTATAGGATTATTTCCTTCTCTTAAGAGTTACATTGAGGGGCCACATTGTGTCTCGTAGGAAATGGTTGGTATTGGTATACTTCACAATTTAGCTTTATTGACCAAGTTATTAAAGGCAAACAATAAAAAAAGCTACAAATCTGATACATTTATTAAATCACACAACTTCACTGCAATGCAGCCTTTAAAACCAGGCAAAGACACGCACACATATTACTATATCCAAAATGTAAGATGAGTTCTGGTTTAGTGGATATATCACTATATTGGTATATAACCAAGCACTTAAGACTAAACATGTTTTTTCTATTTCTCTTTACTTAACACAAGTTAAATAACCTGGCGGCTGCTGATTTTGATGTTACCCATCATTCCCCCTCATCATTCCCCTCCTTCCTTCGTAGTCTCCAACTACTTCAATGTAATTAAAACCCAAAGTGTAAGGCTTATGTGAATACATTTCAGAATAATTTAGACTTGCAGAGATCAGTGCTGAAAAAATATGTGATGTATTTTGCCTATGTGGATACCAGTAACAAAACAAAAAACAAAGGGCAGACATGTTTTTAAGAACTGATTTTAATTAATTCCACACGTCAATAACAGCTGTTAGAATACGATCATTTGAAATTTTACAGTTTCACCCTCAACAGGCATCAAATGTGTCCCCATATCTGAGCATTTGGTACAGGACACTAATAATCTGGACCTCCACCTCCCGGTCCTCTGTGGCATCAGCTTCAGGTGCTGCTGCCCTCAACAACAGCTTCTTATTGTCTGTTTGCCATTATGAACAACTGGAGGTGATTCAAGGCTTAATAAAATATTATTTAAATGTTATTGTCTTTTAATATGAACATATAAAAAAACACAACAAACAAAACATTTACATCATGGATTGTAAGCCTCTGCCCATGCTACCTTATGCAGTATTATAAGAAGAAGAGATGCCACTAGAAAAAGACCAGACCCCCAGCTCTCTCCAGCTCCCAAACATCTGCAGACACTTCCGGCTCAGGTCCACAGAATCAACCTGCCGTCTTTAACCATAAGGCAAGAAAATACAAATTTAGAAGATGAGTTCAAATAATGACCTTCTTTGCTTATCAAATGAACTGTCTCATTGTTGTACATGTATAGCAGTTACTTACAAATACGGTTTGCCTTGTTAAAGACAGATATTATAGTTCTTTACATCATTTCTCAGGGATAGACTGATGTATTACAGGCGAAGAGCCATCGATCAAATTTGTGTGGATAATCAAAAATAATTTCAACAGTATATTGATTCTACAAAGTGTGTCAAAAGGAGGAGGGAAATGGAAGATCAGATTTGACTCGACCTGTTCGTTCATCATCAACCTTATGGGAGAATGCGCTAGCGACAGTGAGGCCCCGGATTAATAAGTAAATTTAATTTTTCTGTGTTTATGAGGAAGAACAAAAGAAAAACCAGATTCTGTGCAGCTGATCAAACTGACAGCGTGATGATAAAAAGAGGAAAACATACAATGCAGAGCTCATTAGAGTCACTACTCGACCACTTCCACATTTTCTGATTCCCACGCATGAGATGTTTGAGGAGCACTGATCACGATGGTCAGGGATCCTTGATTTTTACTCACTACATGACGGCTTTGAAATAAATAAGCCTTAAAGTTGGAATGAAGCATCAGATGAGTGCAAACAGCTCTAGCAACACATTTTCTCATCTTCAAGCAAACATTGATGACCTTCCTTCACAGACAACCTAAACTCGGCATGGATATCCTTCTGAGAAACAGCCATCACATACTGACGAAACTAGTGCAGGTGCAGAGGAATATTAGTTGAATGCCTACAGCATGTAGCAATTAAAAGCCCATTCTACTCCAGCAAATAGATGTGACCTTATCTACATTGAGCGGTGGCCGAGGGGATTGTTGGTTGAAGCGGCTCCACTTGTTCCAGACAAGACCATTTGTAATCCAATCAATGACTTTAAGCGAGGTGGGGTTGCACTTATTGACACTTCATTAAGTTTTGTTGTGTCAGACATGCTGAACCCACCGTAGTAAAGTACTCTGAGTGGTGCTTTGACCCAGGTCGGATGCATTCAGAGGGAAAGAAAAAGGAGTGTTCATCACCAGCACCAGCCTGGACCAATTATAACACTCACACCACAGCAGAACACAAGTCCTGCTTTCTCCCACCAATAACTCCCGTCTGTACGCCAAATATCCTGTAGCTTTACACACAACTGTTAAGAAAATGCAAGGCATTTAAATAAATATGATACTACTGTCTGAGGGCATCAAAAGCATCAGAGAGCATTGCCAATTGACTTTATTCTGCATCCCGGACCAGGAAATCCTCCATGAAATAAAACACTATCTGTCAGACAGGGTTTTCTGCTGGCCAGCTCAGAGAGCCGTAAAACAATGGGCTCAAATCATCATCACTCAACAAAAACAAAAGAAAGGCACCAAAATCTCACAACCATTACCTGTCAGTGTATTCTTAAAATAGATCTGCTTTGGCACAGCTGCCGCACAGTAATTAAGATGAGTTACAATTTGCAATGCTGATATATCACTCCTAATAAATCCTGTAACAGCACAATAACTGCAGTTGTGTTTTACAGAGTGGCACAATCCCAGCCACAACTATTGGCCTCACTGACACCTTCAGTTAGCCTGGCTATCCTCAAATCTCTCATTAACAAAGTTGTTGTTATTGCAGAGGGAACAAAGCTGAATGGAAAGATGGAATAAAAAAAATAAAAAGAAAGAACAATGTAGGAAAACAAAATCTCCAGTGTAAAATTGGCTTCATCGATCGATCCACTTCTTTCTTAGCTACTCTCTGATCAGTCTGCTAAGTTTTTTTATGACTGAGGTAGGTTCTCTTTAGCTAAAGGACAAAATAAAAATGGAAAGTATCACACACTTGTGTTCTGTCCTTACATAATTAAAAAAGGATATATTCCTGAAAAAAAAAACTTTCAAGCTTTGTGTTTATTTCTTTCCAGAGAATTATGTCAATTGGAGAGGTTTCAATTTGCATCACACTCCTGATATCTCTGTCTTGTCCTCTCGCACATTTTCTATTTGTTGTTTTTGACCTTTTAACCAAAAACAGCTGAAGAGCTTCTGTTTTCAACTTGCCTGTTTATCACAAATGTGACAAAAGTCAGAGACGTACACATCGAACGCCAATGGCTAAAAGAGCCTGTGATTCCAAGTCAATACAAAGAGAGATGAGTTGGTAGAGAGGAAATAGTCTGGAGAGAGAGAGAGAGGAGGAAGAGGAGGGAGAGGAGGGAGGGGAGGGGGGGATGCACGATCCATTCAGTCTCTAAGTAGAGGCAGGACGGTACAGATATTCACTGCAAGGTGACGGTTGGCCAAAAAGAGTTACTTCCAGTGGTGAGCAGTACAAAGAGGAATCCTAATCACTCTAGATTGAAGATTCGTTAACAGTGCATGTTGGACTGTGTGTTTTCTGACTGGGTAGAAACCAGAGCTGCTAAAAGGCTCCGACGTTTGGGGGTGAGGGAGGGTCATTGCATCTCGTGGATTCGAGTGTTCCTGTCCTTCGAGCCCCCTTCCTCTCTGTCTGTGTGTGTGTGTGTCAGTCTATGAGGGGAGAGAGCTGTGGGGTCAGTAGGCAGTGACCAGGTCCTTGTCGTAGTTGTACCGGCCCCTCTTCGGGGCGGGACTGTCGGCACTGTCCTCAGTGTCCTCACTGTCTCCCCCTGCCCCGCCCCCTTCCTCCTCTGAGGAGGAGTCAAGAGTCAGATCTACCACCGCGCCTCCCCCCGGCACCCCAGGTGCTCCGGAGCCCCCCGCCACAGAACCGCTTCCAGATTTGCCCGTCAGGCTGGTGCTGCTGTGGGCCGGTGAATGACCGTTTGCTTCAGGAATGCCTGCAGACATGAAAGACATTTTAAAACGGATACATTAACACAAATTAACAGTCAACCATCTTTACGTTAAAACATTTATTAAAAAAAAGGGGGCACATAATGCAGATTTTCAGTTCATACTTTGTGCCTCTACTGTGACATGTTGACATGCTTTAAAGGTGGGGTATGTAATTTATTTCAGAAACACTTTGTTATATTCCATGGAATGCTCTTAACATCCCGATAGCAATGAATATATTACATTACATGTCATTTGTTAGACGCCTTTGTCCAAAGCGACTTACATACATTAATACTGTGGACAATCCCTACAGGCAGTGCTTGAATTGGGCCGGTACTCACCGGTACGCAGTACCGGCACTTCTGATTTTTACCCATGTGGTACCGGCACTTCTTACTGAGTACCGGCAAGGTGCCGGTACTCAGTAAAATGCCGGTCCTCAGCCGCCGGCAATATACGTATATATTGTAAACGCAACGCAGCGCAAATGTGGGTCTGACTCTGCCTCACAGAGGGTGACTGGCTGTCTACATGACGTGGCCTGCCGACATTGCCACTTTCATACAGATCATACTCATGCCCTCGATTGGTCTCTGTGTGTCATTCAAGCTCCGGAGGGTGTGTGTTGGTGTATGTGTGGCGCGAGCGAGCGAGAAAGCGCGCGCACCGGTTACGTGTATTGTTGTTAGCATCTGGTGCTAGCTAGCTGCGCTAACGGATATAAGAAGCTGTTTCAACAACAAGGTGGAGGGAGAGTCCTTTGCTGTCAGACTGAGAGGCTGATAACTACAGCTCTGGTGAGGTAAATTACTCTCTGAGTCTTTAGATAGTTAACTTAGTTTAAGTTATCTCAGTGGGTCTCAAACGGTTCGGTCACCATTTATGTAAACACATATTTCCATTTGAGGGGGTAGTGATTAGTAAAATATGCANGGGGCTTCTAACGAACCACACACAGGAAAAAAAAAGTCCACCTCTTCTGTCAGTTTTGGAAGGCTAATGTAAGTTGCAGATCACTGCAAACAGCTCAAGCCATACCTTCAGATGGATGTCCTGCAGGATTTTAATCCGGATTCCGGCAATCTGTACGAAGCAGGCTTTGAGTATTGGCTGAGAGTTACAGTTTCATTGTCATTTCAGGTTGAAAATGATACGGTCCAGACCAAAGCTCGTCTTTATGCAGTGCTGAGACATTTCAGATTCCGTTAGTGTATGGCGGCAGGAGAGGGCCAGGTGCTGCATTAACACCGCACGCTGCAACAAACTACAGCCCTGCTGTGTCTGTGGGAAGAGGCAAGACTTGCACTTTAAACTTTTCTGTGTACAGTTTAAGTTTCATGTTTACATAGTTAAAGACTTCTGATTGTCTTTTTGCAGCTTCGTTTGATCAACTGAGTTTTCTTGTGGATTGACGATGGTAATTTTTTTTTGTGGTTGTGTGAATTCACTGTCCTGTGGAAAAGGACAGCATACCCAGCTGTTCTCTTTATTTTGAGGAAATCACTGCCTTACCCTTTCCTTGTCTTTGTGTGTGAGTCTGTGTACGAGCCTGAGCATGGTGTTTCCACTGGTAATGAGATGACAGGCTGGACACCAGAAAGTAATCCTTGATTTAATTGAAAGGCTCCTCCACATCAGAGACGGATGGAGATTTACAGCGTCAACAGGCACATATATGTTTTATTGAGCTGGTATGGATGTTGGTGTGTTAGTTTGATCATAGGTTACTGCTTTAGATCTAACAATACGCTTCTGCATTCCCTCTGCAACTTCCTTAAAGGTAGGGTAAGTAATTAACTTCAGATACACTTTTTGTTATATTCCATGGAATGCTCTTAACATCCCGATAGCAATGAATACATTACATGCTTTGACAATAAATACATACAAATATTTCATCTGTAGAAGCCGTAGCGCTGTAAAAAACACGACCAATCATCTGAGCCGGCCCGGCTAAAATAACTGGATGGCCTACCTGCCTGTCAGCCTTCCATCTGTGCACAAACTTATCTCGTGCCCTCATTGGTCATGTGCGCATTCGTGTGTGTTGGAGGAGGGGCTCTGTAAGGAAGTGGCAGATTTTTTTCCGGCTGTGTATTTTCAAATTCTAGCGTACTCGAGCTGGTTTCTCCAAAATTACCTACCCCACCTTTAATGTTCAAAAAGGTCTGCCTGTGCTGCAGCACCTCTTTTCACCCTCTGTGTGAAACCAAGTGCTCTGATTGGTTAGCTGGCCGGCTCTGTTGTGATTGGAAAACCGCTTAGAGATGTCCCGCCCCTTAGCCTGTCATGTACAATGTTTTGGAGCGTTAGCCAATAGAAGCATGAGTGTTACATAGTGTTGTCACTGAGAAACTCCCTCTGGAGGGAACTTTGGGATTTTAGCCTTGTAGGACTTGAGATAATAATAACACACTACAGGAGAGGGAAAACCTCAAAACGCATACTAGGGCCTCTGTAAATTGAAAGGGTTTGTCACTCACATATATCGACAACAGGATAATCCGGTGTGTTGCTGCGTTCTCTTTCTCGGTCCCTCTTCTCCTCGTCACTAATGGGTAGCCAGGAGCCGTCGGTTAAGTACTCGATCTCCTCGATGTCCTCACTCGTCTCCTTCAGAATCTCAGCTAGCAGCCTGAAATACACACTGCTGGTTAGAGGCACCTCTCAAAACATACACTGAGAAGAGGTCTGCATGGGTTGGATTTCTTATTTTAAATCACAATTAAATTACATGAAGAAAAACAAATCAAGCCATTTATTAACAACTGAAACTGTATGTTGTAATTGTCTCTGCCCCAAAACACCTCTCTTAAAACGACTCAATAAACATTTAGTGACTAAACTGCTGAAACTGTAATCTAGAGATGAGTTAAGCTGGGACTTTCACACAAGGAATGAAAATATACCTCGAGCCAAAACGTAACACAATGCGTTCAGTCTTTGTGAGAGCAGGGGAGTGCCTGTGAGAGTTGCTCACAATAAGCAGGACACTACATGCCCAAAGGGCTGTGGATCAAAGTGTTGTCATTAATTCTTTTTTTTATACAATAAACTGCAGCTGTATTTGTGTTTACTGCTACAGTGATACAAATATATATTAAAAAAAGAATTCTGCTCAAAGGCTGTCCATAACACTGCAGACCAGTCATTGCTAAAAGTTTTGCACCTATACCGTAAAAAAGAACGATAATTTGTTGAAAGTACAAATTACTATTTGTGTTGAGAATCACTTTGAGGAATGAATACTGTAATAACAAAAAAACTGTTTTTTCATATTGAGTCCCACAATTACATGTTTCTCCTATCTACAGCCTTTTTACATTAAGTCAAATCAATTTAAATATTTGACCTGAAGGCAGGTCTAAAAACAAATCACAGCAGATAACCACCCTCTGTCACGCCAATGAAAACACAGTTTGGTTTCAACTTGTACCAATGCACCAACATCGGAGCAGCTTGAACATTTTCCTCACACTGGCTTCATCACACAGATAGCTAGAGTTACACATAAATTGTAAATTCCAGAATTTATCGAGCGGGAGATGGTGCTGCGGGGGCAGGACGAGTCAGAGCATGCTTCGTCTCCTTACCCATCAATAGTGAGCAGTTCAAAGGGAGCGGGCTTGTCACAGACTGGGCAAGTCCATGTTGGCTTCTTCTCATTCATCTGCAGGAAGAAGACTGCGTCGAAACACTGAAGGTGGGCACAAGTTAAAACTCGAGATGGCACACCGAGACGCATCTTCACCAACTGCAAGAGGGAGGAGGGAGGAGGGAGGGAGGCATGTTAAAGAGATCAAGATTCATTGTGGGAAAAACATTTTTGAAACTGGTCTTTGATACTGCGGAACTAACAGAAAACTTGTAAGGCAGAGAAACATATTCACATCCTCACGTGTCAGGAATTATAAAAAAGTGTACTCACTGGACAGATGAGAGAAACCCGGAGGCCTGTGGTTGCAATTTCACTTTCTGGATCATAGCGTAGTTTGTCTTGGACTATACATAAATGATAGACAAAATATCCAGAAGTGTCAGGGTAGTTTTACAGAGATAGCAAGGTAAATTAAACTCGCAATACAGTTTGAGTCTGCCTAGTGTAGTTTTATTTTATTTCAAAGTCACTTGTGCATAACATTCTGCAGAGTATGGAGGTAAGACTTACTGCGTTCACGACAGCGTTCTGCACTCTCAACGGAGCAGAGCTTGAGTTGGCTGAAGAGGTCTGCTGCAGTGAAGACCCTCACTAGATACACTGCCACAGAGTACCGCTGGAAACACACATTCACAGGCTGTGAGCACTTATTTCAAAATGAACCTCAAAGCCAGGCAAGAAAACGGAAACATTAACACAAAAAAATGATTATTGTAAGAAATCTACTTGGATTTGCTTTTCTGTTAGAAGAAGAATTACATGTCCTTTGTTAGACGTTTTTATCCAAAGCGATTTACATACATTCAGTATTGTGGACAATCCCCACAGGAGCAATTTGGGGTGACGTGTCTTGCCCAGGGACACAACGACATGCTGACTGCAGTGGGACTTGAACTTGGTTCGAAGTCCAGCACTCTATCCACTTAGCCACAGCCGCCCCAATAAAAAAGGCAAGTCTTTACTTTGAAACCCTCATGATTATATAACTGTTAAATGGAAGATGTAGTCTTTCATTACATGGGCACATGTCAGTAGCACAGCAAATTATTTCTTATAATGAATGTTCACCATATATGGGATCCTGTTATAATTCCCTAAATACTTTGAGTATAGTAAACAACTAAATAACTTTAGTGCAAACATGCCTCGATGCTATTTGATGGACTGAAATTCCCACCCCCCCCACTTGTTGGCCAACCATGAGGTTATGGACTCGCTTTGATTAAGTATGCCCAGGGTATATGCAGGAATCCTGAAGTCAAATGTAAGACCTTTTAAGACCCTTTCCATACATTTTAAGACCTCATCGCCACTTTGAGTTCTAACCGGTTACATTGGCGACACACTTTACCTCACATTGACTATATGCAGTATTGATTGTCCTTCCTCCTTATCTTCCAACCATTTGGACGCAAACTTGCATTTCCCCATAACGATGTTGTTTAGCAACTGGCGTAAAGGGGCCTTCGCTCGCTATCAAGCAGTGAGCGTGTGATGTCCGGTTCAGATGACGTCAAACCCAACGGGATGCCATAAATAAACTCCACAGAATCACACGACACACCTACGCAATGATTACATTCAGTCACACTTTAGAATACAACCTCTTTGGACCATTTATATACTTATTGAAAACAAGCTACAAAATGTAATACCTTGGGAAATGCTGTTTAATAGC